CATCCCCAGTCACAAATGGACTAAACACACAAAATAGAAGATTTTTCAATACAGCAGAATGTGAGTTATAAGTCACTTTTTATCACAGAAGGTGGAAAAATGCTTTCAAATTAAGGTTTTAACCAATTTTGGCTCTCAAGAGAGGACCTTTTTTGAAACGGGCAAAATGCAAACTATCCCTATTCTACCAGGTTTTATTTAATTTTATTTAACTATTTTCATCACGCCTCAGTGAGGTGAACCCACTGTTCTGTTTCACCGTTGCTGCTTGTCTGACTCCACACGTTATAGGAGATATGAGCAGAGCTCACAGCAGTAGCCAGATTATTACAGCAGGTCTCACGAAAATGGAAAGTTGCATCAAGGTAACAAAATGTGATTGCTAACTTGATAATTCTGCAACACAAACTAGAAATTTGATTGTTTGATGTTTATACAATTAAAATTTCCAATACTATATGCAGTAAGTCACTTGTATGTATGATGAGGTTAGATTTCAAAGCCTGTTCATTTTTACAGTCTCCACCCTTTAGATTCCACAAGTTCATAAAGACTCTTTAGTAATTAAAAATGGGAATATCAGATAAAAGAAAGAAAGATGTAAACCCATGAAAGCTCGTACACTTTACCCATATATTGTGTGTAAGGATTCTTTGAAGTATATTTAATGGATCTGACAAAACATCTTACGGATTCACTGTACAAGTAAGCCTGAATGATCTGATTCCTTTCAAAGTTCAGGATATTCAGTTACACATCTTTGAGAACAGGATTCTCCATCTATTTGACTGTAAACCTACTGCAGTCTTTACTATATAAAAATTGTTAATACTAATTATAATACATATATAAAAAAAATACACACCTAGAAGCTACTAGCAAATCACCAACTATTGTACAATGATTTACTCTATCTTAAGCCAGTTTCAAAAGGAAAATACAGGAAAAGCAATACTGTATTAAATTACATTTTAAAAAAACCCTAGAGAAAGCATGAATCAGTCTCAGAAAATCTTGCTGAGAAGCTTCAACATCAATAGTATCTTTTCATAATCTGGGAGATTATTAGTAATGTTGCTAATACACTGAGTCAACTGGATGATTTGATATATGGGTAGGAGAAAAACATCCTTGCATTGGAAGAGAAATAATTGCCTATGGGATTAAAATTACTCTATAGCAAATTATATCACTTTACTTTTGAATTTATAAATGTGTTTGCATTTACTTGTTCTCATTCTGTCTGGCACAGGACTTTTGTCCCTCTGAAATGAACTTTAGCAAAAGCTTCGGTGGTATGAAAAAAATGTAACCTTTGTTAGAATTGAAGACAGAATCCACAGAAAAATGCAAAAGGCCTAAACTCAGTGATGAGTAATTGGCATTAACTAAACTTGCTCTTACTTAATACTGTTGAGGAGGGCATGTGCTCAGGAAAAACTCAGGACATTCTTTACTGTGATTTGTAATACATTGGACATTAGTCTCCAGCACTGAATGACCACTTAATCTTGCCTTTCAGAAATGTAAAGCTATGCTCTTGAATTGAGTTTCTGTGTATGTTTCAGTGAACTTGTTCAGGAAAGTCTTATTGAATAGAGCGATCCAGGATAACTTAATTTCAAAGTTATAAACACAGTGATCACAGCTGAGAGGTCTCTAAGCCAGTCAAAACTGTAAGAATAGTATTTATTACCGCTGTTGCTACAGAAGTGCTTGTGTTGAATAATGAAATCAAATCCAACTGAAACGTTCACCTTATCTTAACAACTGAAGTGCAAATGCCTTCAGCTGCTGCTTAGGTCAATACCAACAAAATCACTTCTCCGACATTTGAAAAACTTAGAGTACAAAGATAGCTGACTAATTACATTATTTAGGATAGCACAAAGGTTGTACAGATATAAAAAAGAAGCAACTGCTTTATTCTATTATACTTCTAGCTTTAGAACTATAAAATAGTACTGTATCCAAACAAAGTAAGGTTGGAAATATGATTTTGCAGTGTTGTCATGTAACAGGCATTAAATTTCACAAAAAGTATCACAAGTTATCAGACATTTTAGGAAATCAGTAATTTAGTCAGTAAGAAGAATTTTACTCACATAAGTTTGGATATTTTACTCAAGGACACAAAATAGTAAAATTCCTCATCGTGAAATTCCTGATAAGAAATCCCTTTTTTATCAGGTAACTGATGTATTTTCAAATGTTTCTGCAAAATACAACTTTTTTTTTTTTTTAATTCAGTATTTTTGCTTGAAGCAGCAACTAATCTCACTGCTTAACTCAAAGCCACCTTTGAAGCTAGCCTATCAGTTTCACTGTTATTAGTACCTTGTATAATTAAAGTCCATTGGTGACTTATTCACATTATGAACATACAGATGTTCAGTCCAAAATTTAGTTTGAGATAAATCTGTATGAGTCTCATCTCTCCCTCATGCTTAACACTTCCTCTCATTATATCCAAAACGAATATTTTTCTAGATATCCTTTTATACATAAACATATATATATTTTTAAGTATGCATATGTATGCATTCTCATGTATATATATATAGGGGAGAAAGAATGCACATGTTTTTAAAACACTGTTGTTATTTTCCCTTAAATAATATTACCAGATTGTTTCCTTTAACATTAAAGCACTAGAATCTTAAACCAGAAATATTCCCTCAAGGTCATCTGTGAATTAAATTTGGACATATTCTCTTCATTACTATTAATTACCAATTAAATGTGATACTATTGAAGTAATGCTGTGAATAGCTTTTGTTATTATCTTTTTCCTATACTAAATAACAGCAACACACAGATTTTTGAGATCATATCAAAAGAAAAAGATCTGCAGCATAAGAAGGTTCTGGACTTCCAAAATTTTTCTCAAAATCTTTTGATGCTTTTTAGAAATACTCATTTTTCCAGGAGAAACAAATAAAAAACTCCACACTGTTTTCTGTTGCACAGACATTCAGTAACCAGAATGGGAGTGCAGGAAGGAATGTGCCACAAAAAGCATTTCTATCACATATCTCTGATCTTTAGCATCTGCAGCGCTAAATGAATCACAGAATCATTCAGGCTGGAAGGGACCTCAGGAGTTGACCTGACCCAACCCCAACACACGCTGAAAGCAGGGCTGAGATTCTCTTCTTCACGCTAGTGGCGCAACTGATACTATATAGACTACTTTCTTCATACCTTGCAAGGTGTGTCAGTGTCTTCATGCCATTCACTGATTCAGCCAGGAACATTGCATATGGGCTTTCTGTGATACAGCACTGCCTCTGGTTATAACTGCTACTCACTTTGGAGCTTCCTTGGACAAAAGGTTACAAGATCTTAAAACAAGTATCTTCTGAGGAGATTTTGAGATTTGAGGTAAACAGCTGACCCCATAAAATTGTTGTTGCCCTTCTTACTCTACAAATAAATGCAGTTCATGAAAAACTACCTACAATGTACAAAACTCTGCATATAAGTATTGTATATACAAACTCACTACTAACCTTGATTAAAAGTACTACGTCCTAAGAGGGCAGGAGATAGTTTTCCTTGTTGGCAATTAATTTCCTGAATTACTTTCCTTAGACCTGAATGCTTATATTAATTTTATTATTATTAGGTATTTATTTTCTTACTATGCTTTATTATGCTGTGTATTCAAGGAGCCTATTATTGTTCCATATACAATAACACAATTGACATAAAAACACCTTCTCTTCCTCACTGCAGAAACAATATCATAAAAAGAACTATCATACTGAAATATATGTAAGTACTGTACACAGAAAACCTGAAGCAGTCTTTCCGACAGGATACTGGCATAGCCAATCCATTCAATATTCACTAGATATCAGCTGAAAATGGGTTACCAAGTTTGGGTATTACATTTCAAGAAAAATAAGGACCCACTGAAGAAAATGCAGAGGAGAAAAACAAGCACAGTCTGCGATCTAGTAAAGCACGAGGCTGAACATGGTGCCAAGTAAACGTGCTTCATCTCCACTGCAGCAAAGCAGGAAGAGAGGCTGATGAGTTCAAAAGATCATGTCAGTGTCTCTGAGTCCTCTAAGGAGCAGGACACGCACTGAGGGTCACAGTGCAGTGCTCTGTCTTTTCTTGCAGGAAAGATTACATGAAATGGGTAGATTTATTCTAGAGAAGAGAGGAAACACATAGAAGCTTACCACAGAAACACGACAAATCTTCAAATATGCCAGAAAAGAACAAACTAGTCCCCATGTCCACGTCCACCAGAGAAGAAAATACGACTTTGTTTTTCATCAGCTAAGACCCTTAGTTCATCTTGCAAAGCACTGCCCACCCATGTGCAACGGTTCTTCTTTTTCCTTACTGAAGGGTCCCTTTTTTTTCTAGAGCAGTTCTCCAATTTGCCAAGATCAGTCCAAGGTCTGACATGGTCCCCCAAAGGCTCCTTTTACTAGATAAATGTCAATGTAATACTTAACTGAGTTAGACTACACTGATTTAGATCTTGTGTTATCATCACCATAATAAACATTACAAATCACTCTGTGTTTGCAACTAGGCACAGTTAGTCATACCATAGAGCAGTGAATTACTGTGTGGGGAAAAAAATATGTCTGGTTTATATTTTTGTATCCTCTGGGTTATTAAAGTTAAGTACATCAATAGATTTCCTATGTCATAGGTTTTTTTTCACAAGTAACTTTAAATATTTTGTTTACAACACAACTGTCTTACTGCAGTAAAAAATATGTTTTCTGAAACTATTACTTATCAGTAAAATTTCAAGTACAGGTCCTAAAGACTTGAAAAAATTATACATTTTAAATTCAACACAAAGGCACATGGACCATTTGGACATTTATAGAAAGGCTTAAAGATAGCATGAGGCTGAGAGAATGAGCCATACATATGTTTCAGTTCTCAGTTTAAAGAACATCTAATTTTTAAAAAAACCCCACATATGCTGCACTACTATATAAGTAAATAACATAAACATATGTTACCTGCTTGGTCTTTAAATATTTTTGATATGACGACAGGCACTTTGTGCTCAGCACCACCCTGTAAAAGATGCGTATTAACCATGAGATCTCAATTAAGACTGAAGTAAACTAGTCGTACTGAAAATTAAAAGAAGAAACAAGAAGTTATCCATACCTTTATGCTTAAGCCCAAGCCACCAACTGGTTGTCTACGAAGTGTAACAGTTCTGTGCTTTAAAAAATTGCAGAAAAAATAAATTTAGGTGAAAACACAATATCTGAATAAGCATAGAAGATGTTTCTAAACTGTTTTTAACTTTTAAAAAACTAATTCTCAAAGGTACCCTACAATCTGAGTGATCAAGTTCAGTTCTGAAGTATCATTCAACATTGGTTTATAGGCACTTATTTAATTCCTTACTACAGAGAGCAAAACTTGTGTATGAATTGCATATGCAGACTTTTAGGATGTTTTTCTATTGCTGAAGTGATATTCTTCCTAAACAGAAATTTTTACATGCTTTTGCTTTGCTTTGACAAATGTTTTCATGAGAAAATAATATGAAGAGCTTTGAGATGTGCATTTTCATAGCTGATTTACCTACTTTAACTGCTACCATGTATGCACATGACATTTATTCTCATTTTGCAATCAAAAATACCAATGTTTTCTAATCCATATCTTCAGGCCTATACCAATTTTTTGCAGCATATGCCAAAAGACATTTAGTGATAGTCTGCTTCAGATGGTTATTTTCTTGCATTTCATGTTTAAGTACATAAATAATATAAACATTTATCAATATTTTTCTACAGCAACCTATCATATGTTTAATAGTGTGCTGAACTTGACATTTCATTAATGTGTAAATCTTGGTGTCTGACAACATAATAATAGGACTTCATCTGTTGACAATAATTATAGAGTGGAGGGGAACTTTTTTGCAACGTGCGGAACAGTACTGCATAGAATGCCATCTTTCAACACCTAGAACAGTGACTCATTCCCAGGAGTCATCTTCTATGACATAAATCCTCTCTGCTTATTTAATTCATGTTTCTCTCCACCTACACTTACAACCTGTAAACAAATTATCCCAATATATCCCATCACATAGGGATAATGGAGTAAATATTTTGACAGTTTAGATTGCTTTAGCATTACTAGACAACAAATACAAATACACTACATGGATAGCTTTAGCCATTTTATAAAAGACAAGCAAGGTATTATTTATTGGCATCTTATACATTCAACTATAACTAAAGTGTATTTTTATGTGGTTGATAGGTACATTTCGAATTATAATACTGATGATATAATTGGGTTTGTAGCCCTACAAAGCAATCCATTTGCATAACATACTGTAATAATCTTGATATTTATACTTTCATAGTTCATAGAGTTGCTTATTACAGAGCTTCAAATATTCCTATTAAAGCACACTTTGAAAGAAGGTATTAAACATGTACCTAAACGTTTCCTACATAACAGCTTTTCTAATTAGAGCTACCTTTAAAAAATGCAAAAACTTCCTACTTTTAAAGACGTTCAAATTGCAAAATAAAATGCCAAAAGCTGAGCATAATCAAGTGTCATAATCAAGATCATTTACACAAACTTATTTCAATCCTATGATAGTCTATCATTTGCTATGACTATGACTAGCAGTCATACAAGACCAAACATCACATTTCATTTTCTACAGATAGATTTTTGTTATTGTCCTGTTTTTGGCTGGGATAGAGTTAATTTTCTTCCTAGTAGCTGGTACAGTGCTGTGTTTTGGATTTGGCATGAGAATAACGTTGATAATACACCGATGTTTTAGTCGCTGCTAAGTAGTGCTTACACTAGTCAAGGACTTTTCAGCTCCTCATCCCCTGCCAGTGAGAAGCTGGGAGGGGGCACAGCCAGGACAGCTGACCCAAAC